CAGCCCCAGTGGATCAGGGGTGTATTCTGTGGGTGCCGGCCGACAGCCAAGCTGCTTTGCGGCGATGGCATGGCGACGCCTTTTTGAGAATGAGGATATGAGAAGATAAAGCACGAACGCAGTAGCAACACTACATATCAGAGCAACCGTCAACATTATGTTCCGTCATGCACGTTGGGCTGGTGAATGGCATGTGAACGGCTGAGTCAAAGAGTAAGCACGCATGAACTTCTACTGTGACGAGCTTGGCGGCCAGACCATCAGGCCATCTACTCATTGCAAAGAGAAGGTTCATCGAGGGGCAGACAAGGCTGTGTAGTCACGTGACAAGGCTGCCCTGTACTTGTGTAGACTCGTTCATCGGCAGGCGCCACGATCCTTTCCTTCCTCCCGAAGATCCTCCACGGCGGATCTCACACCATTACATACTCGGTCGGGCTTATAGACTACAGGCAATAGTAGGCTACCACACAGAGGATAGATGGCTATCCATCGAGTACGAGCTGCGACATGTTTCCGAGAACAAAGACCACGATACCCCTGAAATGGCAAATGGTAATATACTATTGTGACGGGCATCCTTACGCGACAAAAGACAAGAGTTCATCATCAGACCGTCATCATGATTTCTTCGTGGCCGTATCTTCTCATCCATATCGTTCACACGTGAAAACCAGAGGACTAGACACCGAGTACGACAAAGTCCACTTTACCACCAAACGTATCCATCCTCTTCTCAGCCTGGAGAGATTCATATATCGGTATAGAGCATTTCTCTTGTTTTCTTTCTTTGCTGGCAAGGAAACCCACGCTTGCTAAAATGCTAACCACCAAACAAAAGAAATTCGTATCCACTTGATTCGTCGTGTGGCATCTTGGACATCGTTTCTCCGTAAATTCGAATCTAGATCGCTTGCTCAAATTCAACGTCGCCATCCGGGTGGTGGAGGTGGCCGGCCTCCTCGGTAGACGACTTCCCGCTCAATAAAGCGCTCTTCTTCTCGATCCCACTCCGGGCGGTGACGTGGTGGTGGGGGTTCGATGGCCAGAGGGCGTGGCAACGGTTCTTCGACAGCCGGAGGCAGGACTCGATTTTCCCACTCAATCTCCTTGATCCGCTTTCGTCGCTCTTTGCGAATATCATCCGACAGACCGACCAGACGAGCAATATCTTCCTAGTACACCATTAGCAGCATTCCAACCAACAAGATCTTTGACGATGCGAAACTCACATAACGCAAATATGCGATGATGTAGTAGAAGTCATCCGTCTCCTCATACTCATATCCCATTTCTTGAATCGCCTCCTTGACAACAAGATCCTTGGTCACCTCGGTCCACAATCCATCCTTGGGATTCCGCTCCTTCCCATACCGACGGCCAATCTCTCCATTCGCTGAAGGCAGCGGAGCTGGGGGATGAACCGGGATCGGCGCAGGTAGCGGTGCAGGGAGCACAGGTGCTGGAGCAGGAAGCGGTCTCGCAACCGCGCTTTCGTAACGTTCATCAACTCCATCCGGCATGAACTTGCTTCTTCGGACGCCATTGTACCTTTGCCAGGTAATTTCCTGACTCGCCCCACCAGCTCCATCCATTCGCACACGACGTGTCCCCGGAGGTACATCGACGATCTCCCAGTCACGGGTCGCTCCTTGGTAGGCTTCGCCGACGTACGCCCGATCCATGGCACGGGCATTATAGTACTCTGCTTCTTCCTGCACATCCCTTTCATAGCCTCGATAAACCTCGCGCCGAGCGGGTGGAGCGTCGTAATATGGATCACGTGTTGGCGGGGGCGTGTACGGTGCAACGCTCTTCGGGCTCGCCGGACCGTCCCTACGATCTATCACGATATCCTCGTTCTCAGTGCGACCATTCCGGGTTTGGGTTCTGCTGATCTCGATACGTTCTTCTGATCGAGCTCGTACAGATGGTGGTGGAGGAGGGAGAGGCGGGCTTGGTGGCGATGGTGGTCGTGAAATTACGCGTGGTCGAGTTGGAATAGCAACTTCAAAGCCGTGATCAATATGGCGATGATGTGTTATAACCTCTTGATGAATGGTGGGAGCGTTGATGACTGGGGGCTCTGGAGGAGGCAGAGGCGCAGGGGCAGTGCGAGCTGAGGTCACCGATGTAGCAGGAGACCGAGACCGAGAGCTCTTGCGGATGATAATTTCCTGCTGGTTGCGAGTGCCACTGCGTCCATCTCGCTCTTGTTGGCGGATGATGATCTCATCATTCGAAGCACTGCTGGAACGCCGTACCCTAGACCTAGCTCGTTCGTGTGACTTGGGGCGGGCCAAAGCATAGTCTTCGTAACGGCGGGCGTCAAGATTCTGCTCATCACGGCGGATGATGATTTCTTGCCTGTCGACGTCCCCTCGGACAGACTTTCGGTCGAAGTCACCTCGACGAGACATTGTATCGTCAAAATCGTCATAGCGAGAACGTCGATCAGACTCATCACGGCGAATGACAATTTCCTCCCTAGAAGAGTTGACCTCTCTGGGCGGTGGTGGTCGCACCTCGCGCTCTCTCTCATCGCGGCGGATGACAATCTCCTCACGGGAAGAATTCACTTCCCTCGGCGGTGGTGGCCGCGTCTCTCGTTCTCGTTCATCTCGACGAATGATGATCTCTTCGCGGTCTCGATCACGCTGGGGAGGTGGAAGTCTTCGCTCAGGCTCCCGCTCGTCTCGGCGGATGATGATCTCTTCACGGTCGACGTCCCGCTCTCTTACTCGAGGTGGAGGCGGCCTTGACTCGGACTCGTCTCTCCTGATGATGATCTCCTCCTTTTCGACTCTTCTCTCCGGCTGAGGGGAAGGGGACCGGCGACGGGGTCGAGCAGCGAACTCGAAGTCTTCCTGTTCTCGTTTTCGAAGCACCACCGGACCAGCGGTGGTTCGACCATAACCCTCTTGTAAGAAAGCAGGGGTGGACCCTGGCCGCTCACGGACTTCCTCTCGTACGATTGTTTCTCTTTCTCGCTCACGGACAGGTGTGGAGCGGCGAAAGTCTACCTCTTCGTCCAAGTAACGGTCATCGTAGTATCGGCGACCATTCCGTGTACCATAGCTTTCTCGACGGTCTTCATAAATGGACACATCGTCGGCGTAACGACGTCCTGCCATGACAGGGCTGGCTAGGGGTTTGAAGTCGACGGTCAGGACACAAAAGGGTCAGGTCAGGCGGGTGCGGTTCGCTGAGTTGGCAAGCTGGTGAGGGGGTGCGGGCAGAGTCTGCTGAATGGATGACTGGTCAAAGGATGCAGGCCGTTAAGTGTATCGTTGCAGAGGAGAGGCTGATGCAGCCAATCGAGACAACACGAAGAAAGCAAAAGAACAATTGCAAGCTACCAACGTTGAAAGAGAAGTGAGAGAAGAAAGCAGAGGACGATGGGGGTTGTTGAGTTATTGCGAAGGTGGTGAGGTGAGAATGAGCCGGCTGGGGGGGAGTTGAGCCTAGTTTTTAGGTGGGACTTGGACTGCAACTCGACTGTGACTACCAACTGGGACATGTGCATGTGTGAGAAGCAGAGGCGCATGCTCACCAATACACAACACAGGGCTTTTTTTCTTTGCGGCAAAAGCCCACAGTCTCTTTCGAGCCGGCTACTGGTGGTCGCCCCGCTGTCAGTCTCGAGTTTTTCTCTGCAAGCGACAGGACACAGCCAGAGAAAGAGGAGCAACCACCACCACCGCCGTCACTGGTCGCTCCGAGGGCGATGACGGACAGCAACTGGCAGTGGACTGGCACAGGGCAGGTGACGTAGTGTTATGCACACGAGCCCAATGACCCGCCAGAGATCAAAGGGCATTTTGGTGTCGAAAGGGTGTCATTTGGTGGATTGGGGGGAGAGCAGGAAAAAAACCAAGGAAGTAGCACGAGACCTGATCGAGGGGGCCGTGGGTGGGCGCGGGGGGCCATCGAACTGTGGCCACTGGCTTTACGAGGTACATAGTAGTTACCTAGTAGTTCCCTAGGTGCCGGGAAAGTACGTCAAAAGCAGGTACCAATGTACTTTTTTAGGGTACCAAGGTACCTAGCCTTGGGCACCGATACGAACCGCCGCCTGGGCTGTTTGTCTGTCTGCCCACAAGGCGACTGTTAACTACCAAGTACCCATCTTCTGGAATTTTCGGAGCAAGATGGTACGCCATGGTATTTGCCCCTATCAACAGTTGCATGACGGAGAACTCAGTACTGTGTACGAGGCACAACGGCTTCACCGCCCCTGCATCGTTGCAAGTGTCACGGAACCCAAACTCTGGGTTACGGGCTGGGCCGAAGCCCGAGGAGCCAAAACTTCAGCCGAAACAAAATGCTCGTGCGCAGACACGGGGGCACAGCCTTGTCCATTCTTGCGTGGACCTTGGGCATCAACTAGGTGTCAACCATCTACCCGTCTGATTACGTTTTCCCCATCTTGACCGGCTTTCATCAATTCTTCCCTCACTGCCTCTACACCACACCGCCTCAAAATTGGAGAAAAATGGGGGAACCAACTTTTGTCTTCATCTATATCGACCCATTTGCCTTCCTCAGCCCAAACCTACAAGTAGACCTGGCGAAAAGGAACTTAGACCAGGTCCTGTACAGATCGACGTGGTGCCCAATGTTCCCGCCCTGGGCCTTGATGAGAACAAAAATGCTTCGACGCTCCTATGGGCGCCACGGGCATTAACCCGGTGTCCTGCTCAAGGTGCCCTTTCCCATAGATCGAACGCCCTGATCCGAATGCCGTACATGTCCTCACTGCGTATCCCCAGGCTATGCGCCGTCTTTTGCTATGCTAAAATGTACACTGCGCCTGCAAAACGCCTCCAATCCCGATTCAAGCTTGTGTGTACCAACTGTTGCAGGTCGCTATGGCGACATCTCGTCTCATCGTAGACTTCGTTTCCTCGAGGCGCACATTCCTCTCCTTTTGTCCGCTGTGCGATTTTTCATTAAAGATTAGTGATACCTGCCCAGATCTAGACCATGGTATTGGTGATTCAGGGGTCAGGGTTTGCAACCTATGTGCAAGTCAGCGGGGGAAAACAAGATGGCACCGAAGAACTGAGACTCACCCGTAACTGCCTGGAATAATCCTGGTTGTCTTGCAGAGACACATTGCTAAGGCGACTCTCATCGTGGATGTACAATGCATATGGGTTCAGTCTCTGATCGGTGCCCAGGCTACGACGATCGAAAGCCGTCGAGCTAGTGTCGACACTGCGCAGATCGTTTGCCAAAGTCAAACCTGACGTGTTGACGCGGGGAATCTTGGTCCCTAATAACCCTGAAGACGACAACTGACTAACTTGCCGTGATGGAACATTGTTGGAGGGCGAGCTGTCGCCCGTTCGAGGAACGTACGCCGTCTCCGGTCCATGCTCCTGCTGTAACTTCTTGTGACGTTTGCGAAACCAGAGGTACACTGCGCCGCCGATTAAGCCGCCGATGCCCAAAGCCACGCCAAGCACTATGCCAACGACTTTGCCGGTACTAACGCCGCTGCCTTGGGTAGAACTCTGACCGAGTGTGGCATCTGAGGTCGCAGCTGCGGATGGCGTCACAACCACCGTGCGAACTTCACCTGTTACAGTGGTGACACTTGTGTATATGTCGGTGGGCATTGCATTGCTCGAGCTTGGACTCGTCATCGACGGAGGAGAGGTCGTGGGAGACTGCCAGATCTGTCAGCTTGGCACCAAAGGGCTGCATGCGAGTTTGAATGTTGGGGTTTGGTCCCGGGTTTGATACAGAGCAGCGACAAAGAAATCGGGTTATCATACAGCGGGGTCCACTGGGTTCATCGAGCTGTCGCTTGACCAAGTCACAACGCCAGCCACATCAGAACTCTGAGACGATCCATATGTTACCACAGAAGAGGAGGAGCGGGAGGTTTTCCAGTTACCAGGAGTAGGGGAAGATGTGGGGGACCCAGTATCCAAGGAGGACGTGGATGCGGATGCAGATGCAGGAGTGGAAGTGACGGCGGAGGTGGAGGTGGCAATACTAACCGACGAAGATGAACTTGAGGAAGAGGAAGAGGTTGTAGACGGTGTAACGGCAGTCGAACCAGAGGTTCCTAGGGGGACTCCGGCACTCAAAAGGTAATATCCATAGAGATCAGAGTCGGTGTTGCCACACCATTCCGAGTTAAAGCCAGGACATTGCTGATTGCAGTTATACGTGCTTTCTTGCTCCGAAGGGACGTAGTTGGAGCACCAGCAGTAGTATCCCTGCAGAACCGCAAAGGCAAAAGAACCTTGACATTGCAGTTGACAAGCTCCATTAGATTGAAATTCGTTGTAGTCTGAAGTTAGGACGTCAGTGATTGGTTCGCATCTTCGCAGGGATCTGAAGTATTAGCTACTCACGGCCTTGGTAGCTGCCGGCGTTGTTGTCCGGAGAGCAGTAAGAAATGTCGAGACCTTGAGATGGCGTAACCCACAGCGAGAGAAAGGCAGTACACAAGACCAGGACGGTCCAGAAGGAGTCCATTGGTATCAAGGTGGCCATTGTGAGGGATTGGCGTAAGCCTGAGGCAATGGGGAAGTATTCCACCTCTTACTGCATCGCAATGCTCTGTTATTCTTCAACCACGCATCAAAGATGGGTGAATCAATCGTACACTCAGTCGTGACAATATTTCGAAGAGGCGATTATGGCATTAGAGGTTCGTGTGTGAAAAGTATCGGCCCAGGCGCCTAACACCCCAACTCGACTTCAGTGAAGATGGCTGACGGGGACTTTTTATTTATTTTTGTCTTTGTCTGGAGCTGATTATTTTGGCTGAGTCGAGTCCAGTGTGAGAGAGATAGATTGTCGAGAGGTGACGAAGCAGATGGACAGGATGACGAGCGCAGGTGTGCGTATGAACATGGGACGTGGACGTGGATCGAGGGGGCACAGATTTCTGGATCTCTCAATCAGGAGATATGCGACCGGGGAGCTCTAAGGTTTCGAGAGTCTATTCGTCCATATGAGAGGTTATGCGTACAGAGTGTAGATGGCGGAGGGAGAAACAGGTGTTGTAACAGTGAATAAAAGGTAGAAACAAATCCCTATGAAGGAATGGAGTGGCCGCGCAGAAGTTGGCAGCAAACGGCTAACAGCAGTATGTACTGTAGCAGCAACAGTGGACTAGCGAGGGTTAAAGGAAGAGAGAGAGTTGTGGATGCTAGCGAGTGAATTCGACCATTAAGACAGGATGGGAAAGCGGCCAAGGACAAGGCAGGGTAAAGAGGCAAGGGTGTTTGCAAAAGAAGTCGCAGTACGCAAGTTGCAGGAGAGACTGACCAAGAAGTTAGAACGAGTGATAAACGATGGTCTTATTTCCGGGGTGGATCCTGAGTTAGACGTATCTGGTGATGGTCTGGCGTGGTGGGATCCCGTCCAACAACAACGAGTGGATTCTGACGGAGGGATCAACAATCAACATGACAAGCAGAGTCGCAGTGTGCGTGTGTGTGTGTGTGTGTGCAAAGAGGATGGAGTGGAGGTAGAATGGTAATTGAGGCCGGGGAATTCTAGAGGGTTGTCCTTTTTTATGAACTTCACGGCCGTCGCGGACAATGCGTCGACAAACCCTGGGAAACTCAGATGCTGATTGATCCGGAGAGGCACCAACAAGCAGGGGAACGACGAGGGTTCAAAGAAAGGGAAAGTCAGTGACGCCCGTGACTTGGCCCTGGCACCTGGTCAACAAGCCATCATCATCCATCATTACCGCCACCGCAGCCACCACTTCAATGCGCCCACGTCCCCGGTTAAAAATGTCACTGTTTGAGCCAAACAAGGGAAAAGATACCAGGATGTACCGAGTACTGTAATGCCGTCCTGGTGGTCCCCTCTTTGTCGTGGTTTCCCGCAGCCAAATGTACCTTCCCGGCCCCTCGAATCCTGCCAGCCGCCCGCTCTGCGAGTATCTATGTATATTCTCCCGTACCTATCTATGTACTGAGGTGGCAGACAATGTGCGTCCTAGAGTATTCCTGCTGGAGTATTCCGGGGTATTGTTGATGCCTATACCTGGTCACTACAAGACTTCCTCCATTGATATTTTTCCTGTCCTTGTTCCTGCGCAGATTTTCCTCGTGTTTCTCCGCCCAAAACGGCTTTTAGCTCTCAAAATGTCAAATTGCTTCAAGCTTGTCGTTGGCTGAATCCCCATCATCTTACCATTTCCTTTCTGTGGTCCAGAGAAAGGGTGCAGGTTGTGAACGGGTGGCCAATGTCATGCCTCTCTGCTCAGTCACCAACCCTCAATGGTCTATGTTTCTCACCTCTTCTTGTCCTGCATGAAGCAACTCTCTTTGTACAGACAGACAGACCCCTTCCTGCATGCACTTCTAGGCCGCGGCAAGGCATGTCGATCCTTCGAGTCAGATCTTTCCGCACCGAAACGCTCACCCCAGACCCTTCGATTTGTCGCCCTGTCCAAGTCTCCCTCTGCGAGGTGAATTGCCTGCCACTGCCTGTATCGAGTACCTACCAACTATGTCCTCGTACCACCTTGAGATCCACATTTGGAGCCTATTTGGCCCGACTTGACATTTTATGGTTGCCGACATTTCCGGCCTTTTGGGATTGTGTGTCCATTGCGGATGAAACACAACGAGAGGATCCTCAGTACTTGTCTAAAAATCTTGGAATACTCCATATCCCGCATGTGCGACACCATCACCAGAACCCGATGGTCGGCCACAGACCTGTCTGTTGATTGGCTTGATTCCGTCTGTGGTTGCCGCTGGTGCATGATGTAGTGTTCCTTCGGCGATGTGGCGCCTGCAGTGCTAGGGGCCCGGTCTGAAACCAACTGAAGAAATGCACAGCATGCCGAGCCCACGATTTTTGCCCGTTTCAGTGCATGTTGAAAATGTCGGGAATCATTCAAGACCTCAAGAGTAGGGTTCAGCTGAACAGAGTCCACCACCAGATTGTGACACGGCGCAGGACGAATCCTCACCGTCTGCGCAGACCCCACATGGGTTGTGATTTCCCAGGTGGATGTTTGAGCACAATGCCCTCTAGAAGCTTGTGGCAAAAACATGTGTGAAAATTACAGCCCACCACTCGATAGCCGGCTCCCTTCAGCTCTGCAGATAGGCGGGACTGGTTCGCTTACGGGCAATCGTCATGGCCAAGGTGCCTAATCACTGGCTATGTCTCATCTCCCACTTCTCGTATCTGACCAGGTTGAGTGCGCGATTGCGACTAGTGGTCCCCTTCAACAGCATGAAACCTTGTGAATTGAATTCCTGCCTTCTTACATAGGTACACCACCTTCAAAGTGCGGGGGCGGGGACCAATTTGCTGTTCTCGCCTTGTACCCAGTATGTACGTCAAATCCTGGTGGTCCGCTCCAGTCTCTTACGGCACAGGGCAATATACGTAGACATGTCTTGCTAAAGCAGCTACCCTACACAACTTGACCAAACATATTTTGCTAATCGGCATCGTCTACAAAAGCGACCCCTGACAAGAGGCGGGGACAGCAAGAGCGAGATTTTAGTCGTTCACACTTCTTGTTCGGGAGATCGTGCAAGTCATGTGTGCCGACATAAGCTCATGCGGTGGTACATTTTGACGTGCATGCAGCACGGTCCTCATCTTCCGAAAGCCCAGATTCAAACTTAGACTAAGGTCAGCGGCAAGCAGGATGACAATTGATTGGGCCTTTAGATAGGTCTAGATCTGGCGAGTTGGTTCGAAAAACATGCACATGCCCAAAATCGGGGAAACCAACCTCTTGATTTTCTTTGTTGAAGGCCTCTTTTGCGAAGTGATACTGCCTTGTAGAGTATGGGGAGGAGATGTCTCTTATCAGTCGCTCCCGGTGTCTCCCGGCACATGTGGACACTGGGCGTGGGCGTCTGCAAGCTGCAAGCTGCACAGCGTGATTTAAACGCCCCAGCCACGATATTACAATTACAGACCAGGACAACTTGGCCATATTACTCCGAGCACAGCATCAGCATTTTGAGGTTGAGTCGTTGATAACAAGTCACAAGGAAGGCCCCCCCATGGGCATGATCTACAAGGGCTGGGCCTCTGGTGTACCTTGGCTGCGATCGCACATGGCTGGCTGCCTTTGACGAACTCTACCTCGCATATTATCTGTAAAGCTTCCTTTGAGAGTATTCGAAGGCCATCTGCACTAGCTCGGTACTACTTGATAAGGGACCAAGAGACCTACCTACATACAAGTGACAGGTTTGCACGGAGGTCCCTGCATTTTGACACTTCCCCGTGCTGCCTCGACACAAGATACGGTCATTTCAATCATTTTATTCCAAAACGGTGGCAAGAAAGCCAAGTGTCCAGCTGCACGTGAGAAAAGCAAAAACTCTGTCCCAAATTCCCTATTCCGTTCTTGTTTGTTTCAGCGCAAGACATTTTGGTTAATTTGCGCGAGAGGAGATTAAAAGCGGATGTTTCTGTTTGTTTGATCAGTTCCGCCTCCTACGTCATCCCGCCCGTTTTTGGATATGTCACTTAGGTACGGAGTACGAGTGTACGAGGTACAAGATCTTACCGTTGTGCCGTGGGTACTGCTTCAGCCTTTTGGCGAGATGATCAAGCCTCGTAAGGGATGCCTACACTTTCGATCCTCTTTTGCCATTTTCAACTCATCGTCGCTGTTGGAAATACACATTCCAGCACACTACGAGGAAGATCAGATACATACGACTGACCCGTCCGAGCTGAAATGCGGTACTCGTATGGAATTGAAAACTCCATTGCGATCGTCGGCTTAATCTCTCGGCGGACATTGTCACTGGGATCCCCATGGAAGTTTGATTGGAAGACCCATGCGTACCATGTTTGATAGACGCGAACGGTTGTTCCGATGACGAAATCCGGGGGTTCCTGAAACAAATCTACACCTTTTGCAATCTCAGCCTTGTTGCGGGAGAAAGGAGTCACGGACCTCAGCTGGCGGGGGGAGATTGAATTGTTATAATTGTCGAGACCAAGATCCGTCGGGCCGTCTACCGGGCAATACATATGATCATCTTTGCCTTGTGAGCAGAGATATTGATTTCTCGCACGTGACAAGGCGCATACATTCGTGGTGATGTTCCGCGTCTGGTCTGCTCTCCCTTGATATCTGACGTGTCATTCCACAGGGAAACTAAGGTGTACCTGTGCAGTTCATGCAGGCGCAAAGAACCTCCAACGGCTTCGTTGATTGGCTCCTCGCGCATGCTGGACAACTACTAGAGGTCGGACAGAGCTGCAGGGTGGCTGTCCCTGCTGTGTGACAGGAGAACAGGCACGCGGATATGCCCTTCCCCGTGTTCAGATGCAGGTCGCCCCCTTTTTTTGTGTTACGTGACGATCAATGCATGAACGGTTTATAAGAGACCAAGATCGCCCTCATTGACGACAGCCTCTTTGTATTCGTATCTTACTTGTAGGTGGTTTCGAGTTGGCGTCATGAAGCAGACGCGCCGACCAAGAAAAGAAACTACCATCGACCTCCGTCTCCGCACTTGGACCACGGGCACCTCTTATTTCCTTTTATTTCTTGGGACACTGACGAAATCAGTTGGTTTTGGGGGAGAAAAGGTCGTTGTGGTTGGTGCTTGGGCCACCGGCTTCCCACCGGGCGTCCACCGGGATTTGTTGGGCTCCGCGGCCCACGGCCCACGGCCAATTTACCGTGCCTCCCAGCCAGACTTGGGCGACTTTACCCGTTACCTCAAGGCATGCCAAGTGCCGGGCAAAGCTACGGCAACGCCGAAAACCAGGCACGGCCAAGGAGGAGCTTTAGGCGTCATGCTCTGGGGTAACAGGGCATTCTGGACCACTACTGGCTAGAAGGGGGGGTTTCTTTGAGCCTCGGGTAATCGAATGCTGACTATGTACACCCTTCCCCAGTTCTTGCTTGTACCAACCCCATGGAACTTTCTCGGCCAAAGATATTTCCAATGATTGACTTGTCCGGTGGTATATTCTTTTGGGGGAAGCCCGATAATGATATTCCCCCCATCTCTGAAGGCCGCGCACCCCCAAGGGTCAGGATAGAAGGACACACCTTTTTCCAGAAACTGTCATTCAATTCCTTCCCCGAGAGGTGCGGCGGGCAGCAGGCAGGCGATTACTTTTTTTTTCTCCTCTTCTTTTGTCATTGATATCCTTAGGTTGTCCACGATCCCCCCGCTCCCGGCATCATGGTCTTCTATCCTATGAAATGGGTCCCATCCCTCCCCGAGATCCCTGATACCGTGCCCATATGCGATTTCATGCTCGATGAGCAATACGGTCGCTCCCCTTACTCCCAGTCCAAGGATGCATACACCTGCGGTCTCACGGGGAAGAGCGTCTCGGCGCGACAACAGAAGGAAGATGTCGACTCGTTGTCTCGCGCACTGGCCAAAGAGTTTGGCTGGGGTGTCAATGAGGGCACGGAATATGACAAAGTCGTGGGCATTTTTGCACTGAATACGGTACGTCGAGCCCTTCGTTGGATGTGGTTTTATAAATGGGAATACCAATGTTAACGCACGGGGCACGATCAGATCGACATCATGACCCTCACCTGGGCAATCCACAGAGTCAATGGCATCTCTGCGCCCGCCAACGCTGCCTTCAACTCCGACGAGCTGAGTTACCAACTCACCAACTCCGGGTCCAAGGTTCTCTTCACCGTGATGCCATTGCTGCAGACTGCCCTGGATGCCGCAGCCAAGTCGAATATTCCCAGGAAAAATGTCTACATTTGTGAAATGCCCAACGACCCTCCCATCCCCAAGGAATTCAAGACCCTGTCTCAATTGACAAGGGAAGGCCGGTCGCTGTCACCGCTGGAACCAATCAAATGGGAGAAGGGTCAAGGTGAACGGCAGACCGCGTTCCTGTGCTACTCCAGTGGTACCTCGGGACTGCCAGTAAGTTCTCTGCGGCACTAGAGCATGAAAAGCGATCCTGACATGAAATTACAGAAAGGAGTCATGATATCCCATCGGAACGTCATCGCCAACACCATCCAGATCTCCACGTATGACAAGCCCGCCCGCGACGCAATTGCCCCCAACTATCGTGATGTGGCGCTCGGTCTGCTCCCTCAGTCGCATATCTATGGCTTGATCGTCATCTGTCACTGTTCCACCTACCGCGGCGATCAAGTTGTTATTCTTCCAAAGTTTGACCTGACCAACTATCTCACGGCGATTGAGAAGTTTAAAATCAACACTCTCTACATCGTGCCGCCCATCATCATCGCTATGGTCAAGAACCAAGATCAGACGAGAAAATACGATCTATCAAGCGTCGTGTCCATCTTTACCGGTGCCGCCCCTCTGGGCAAAGAGACCGCCGAGGAGTTGGCCGCGCAGTTTCCCGCCTGGCAGGTTCGACAAGGCTATGGTCTCACGGAGACATGCACTGTCGTGTGCTCGACCTCTCCCCGCGACATCTGGTTCGGTTCTTCAGGGTGTTTGCTCCCCGGATACCAGGCCAAGGTCATGAGCGCCGAAGGCAACGAAATCACGGCATACAACCAACCCGGTGAACTCCTCGTCAAGTCCCCCAGCGTCGTGCTTGGGTATCTCAAGAATCAAAAGGCCACCATGGAAACCTTTGTCGACATGCCTGAGGGCAGATTCATGCGGACAGGAGACGAAGTCGAGTTCAGAGTGTCGCCCAACGGCAACGAGCACATCTGGGTGGTGGATCGCATCAAGGAGTTGATCAAGGTCAAGGTGAGTACTTTCCCAAGAAACTGCGAGCGCAGTAAGGACTAACAAGCCGCAGGGTCACCAAGTTGCTCCTGCAGAGCTCGAAGCATGCCTACTCAACCACCACGCTGTGGCCGACTGCGCGGTAATCCCTGTCTCTGACGACCGCGCCGGTGAAGTGCCCAAGGCCTTTGTCGTCAAGGCCAAGTCGGTAGGACTGGAGGAAAGCGATGCCCTCGTCAAGCGTGACATTATCAAGTACGTCGAGAAGGAAAAAGCCCGGCACAAATGGCTGGCCGGCGGCGTCGAATTCATCGACGTGATCCCCAAGAGCGCCAGCGGGAAGATCCTCCGCAGGCTGCTGAGAGATCGAGAGAAGGAGGCTAGAAGGAAAGCCGGCGCCAAGCTATAACACAGAGCTTCACCTCCGCAATGAAGGGGGGAGTTTGACAGGGGGCAGCTTCAAAACCGGGAGGATTGGGAGATCCAGGAGTCTTCTTTGTATCGGGTGCGTGGTTGTGGGGAGGCTGTAGACTGTCCAAAGCGAAGATTGCACAGATTGAACAATTGCATAAGCTTATCTTTTGAGCTTTTGACTCGATGGCAGTACATCCCACAGATGGTTTGGTCCGAAGGACATGTATGCCAACATCCCTGCCTGTCTGCTTGCTGTTGCCTACCTGCTTCTTTGGAAATCACAATTTGATCGCATTTGAGAGGCAAGACGAGAGTTATAAGAGGTGTCAAGGTGACAAAGCAACATATAGGTACGTCTCTCGAAGCAAGAAAAAGAAAGAGCTAGCCAAACCAGCCAATCAATTGTTCTGCAACGGCTCCTTAATACGGAATGAGATACGTAAAGTAATAGCCCTTGCTTGACCTTTGCCAAACTCCCCATTCACATCATACATTCTGTGCCGGCAGAATAACAGTCAGGAGGACTGTACGAGTGTACTAGGTAGGTAGTCGGTCACGCGCGTGTCACGGCTGTTTTTGGGCCGCCGCCAAGCCCCACCTTCCCACACAGACACTTTGCACTCCTCTGAGGAGAGAACGACAAAAAAAAAAGAACAGGGCAAAAAGAGAATGCATATTGCACTGGCCGTGAACTTGAGAACTGTTAGTTTTGAATTTTGAAGTCGTTATTATTGTTGGTTGAACTCACTCGAACACGGGGCCCATCGATGGCAACGATGGATTTTACCACTAAACCACCAGTGCTGTTGCTGATTGTTGGGAGACATATGGAAAATATAAAATATATCACATAAATTTAGTAAATTGGAGATGTGGTGGGGGAGCTAGAGAGAGGAAAAGTGGGGTCTGGCCTTGCGTTACATGGCGTGCATCAGAACCCTAGCACGTAGGTGAATTTCCAAGTCGACGCGGTGGTGGCAGTTGCCCAGTCTCTTCGCTATAAAATATGTTCCCCATCTACTAGCATATATGCAGTACTATCCATATCCTGCGCCTCTTGTAGAGCAGACAACATAGTAAAGATATAAGAAGTACCTCTAGATACTTCTAGTTGCTTGAATGGCCAGTTACTTGTACATGCCTCCTACTTCTGAACACCTACATCAGAAGGCTCTGGCAACAGATTCATTCTTTTATCCCCGAGGGTTGGACAGCTCCGACAGTTCATGCAATCCCTGTTCAAAGGAACCCAAGGTTGGTTCACAAGAGGGTCCAGGACAGAAGCGCTTCCAAGAAGAGACCGTTGGCTACGATTATGCAAGTATGTAGCGTAGTTGTGCATCCCTACTACGAGTGGGTAGCCTTGTGGTTTACTACATGGTGGTGATCCATATGAACCTGCCCTTTTCTCGTGATGAGGATACGACGCTTCACGATTGTTAAGAGATGCCTCTGTTACATTGAAGATGCTCTTGGACTAGGAAATGAAATGAATGTGTCACGATGAGCCATGCCATACGGCACACCTGTTTGATTTTCGGTCAATTTTCTCGACTGCCCATCTACGAGATACGTTCTTTCGGTTGACATGGCCATATGCCTCATCAAACCTGTGGCTGGCATGATTATGTTTCGGATTTACATCAGGCTGATTAAGGTAGTTTGTAGTGGCTCAATGTAGGAAACTCGATGGAGTCAACCAAGCAGGTTAGCCCTACCTCGCACTTGACTAGAATTCACCCCCCTCATCGCCGCCACCACCGCCATAGGCAAAGCCATCCTCATCATCCCCTTCGCCGCCATCAAAGTAATTCTCCGCGTTGTAATCATCGGCTTCGCCGTCGTCAGACTCCTCGAACTCGGAATCCACGGGCTCGTCGTCGTCATCGTCATCTTCGTCTCCTGCCTCCTCGTCGCCGTCTGCGCCGTTGTTCTCCTGCGGATCGGGCACATCGTCGTCGTCGTCATCTTCGTCGTCGTCGGACTCTCCGCCACCGCCGGACCCTTGCTTCTGCCGCTTCCTCTCCTTTGCGCGAATGCTCTCTATCAGAGAGCGTGCCTTTTTCTTGGTCGGCCCGAAATCGTCTTCGGCGTCAAGACCGCGCTTCTCGCGTGATTCGGTCTCGCGGCGCCGACGCTTCTTCTTTGCTGCCTTCGCCGTTCGTGCGCGGCGAGACCCGGAAAGGAGCGGATCCGAGTCGTCGGTGTCATTTTCTTCATCGTCGGCAATCTTGGCTGAGGCATCTTCGCCTTCTTCGTCGTCTTCGAGGACAAGGACATCTCGCTTCCGCTTCAGTGATTTGCGATTCGGGGCATTCGTCGCCACGTCGATATCCGCCGACAGCCAGAGCGGACTCTTCTTTTCCGGGTCGAGGAGGGGCCAGAGTTCTTGTGGAAAGTATTTCAAGGCTAGAAGTTGATAGGAGATTAGCCAGAGTCTCTCCTACATCCTTTGTCACAACAAAAAGCTCCGTTGCGTCCCAGCAATTTGTTGGAGAGTGGTTTAGTGACGTACCATACTCTCTCCCACTCCCCTTCAAGTCCGGTAAAGTCCTCTTCTTCTTGTGATATTTAGCCGTGTATTTGTCCTGATCGTTGAACGGATCGAACCCCGCGCGCTTGAGTGTTGTGCCCGTCTTTTCATCCGCAATGCTACTGGGGTCGAGGGTCGCAAAGTACGGTCCATTGCGAGTGCGGGTGCGGAAGGATAGGTAGCGACTGACGGCTGCGAGTTCGCGGGACGTCGGCGGGCGAGGGACGGGGAGATCAATATCCTGTAAAAGTTTTGAGAGCGCCCCAGTCAGGACTGTTTGTCTGTGAAGGTGGTTTTTGGTGGTAATGTATCTTGGGAGAGGGGGTCAGGGCCAAACGGTACCGGAAATAGTGCTTGTGGCTTTTTCTCGGTCGGCGCGAGAGAAATGTCGTCGTCGTCGTCAAAGTCCAATTCGGGAGGCAGGGGACCTTTTCGACCGCCTCCACCACGTCCTCTTCCCCGTCCACCTCGCGACATCGTGGTCTGTCAGTCGAGGAGCATCTGTCACGGGATGTTGGAGTTCATGCTGCAATGTGCTAGCCGGAAGTCTGGAAACTGAGAATATTGTGGTGCTAATCCTAGCAGTTAGATCTCTATGCAAAGAACGTCGCAACAGAAAATCAGTCGGCAGAATTTGGGGGAGGTGGGGCAGTCACCTCACCGCCTTGACGAGGCTGCGCAAGGCTAAGATCTCCGCATCATTAATCACTGAAAATTACGACGAAGCCTCTGATCCGAGTACAAAAAGCCAGATATATATAGCCCACTATGAAACGTTGCTTTTATCTACAGCGGAAATATGTACTATGCAATGCTAATCTAGCCACCGTTCCTCGCTGCAATCAACGAGATCGGCCACTCCATCCACTCTGACCAGTGAGGTCCGAGGTGTGAGGATATGGCCTCAATTAGAATGCGACCAGAGTCCCCCACGGCCCAACATTCTGTATAAAATGTCATCAAGGCTGCAAAGTATCCCAGGATAATCAAGGCTTCGGGTCTCCGTTGGTTGAGTCTTTCGAGGAAGTCAGGTTTGAGCTGTACGGGCCACGCCATTAACCAGCGGATGGTTGTGTGTCTTTCATCAGGCACTTTGGATACCGCAAACGCCCACTGCAGCCTCTCAATCGCTGATTCGTATGCGTCCCTTGATTGGTCTCCCAGGTCTGGATTCGTGTTTAACTTGGACAGGTCGAGGCAAGGCTGAGGAATTTGGTAAGGTGTCTCAGGCTGTTGGATTTCGAACATTGTTTTGAGTTCGGTCTGCTTCAGATATTGGTACCAGTCTTTGATGATGAGTTTGGGGACGTTGCGCATAAGCATGACGCAGTCGATGACGTGGTCGAGATACTGGTTTGAATCTAGGCCAGCTGTGCGAGAAGGGTCGGCGAGTATATGAACCGCAAGCAGCAAGGAAAAGAAGAGAACGGCGCCACAATTTGAGGCGTTGATGTCCCTCTCTACGCTGTTGAACTTGTTGAGAGCCAAAGTTTGTAGTTCCGTAGATGCAGTATGGTACCATGTGGCGTTGTCAGGCTTCGTGTATGCGAGATGCAGCGCCGAGATTGCCAACAGCTCGTGCATGAGGAAAGGGAAGGATAAGGCCATACGAACTACCGTTCCTTGCCATATATACTGTACAGGTCCTTCGGCGTGGAATGTTTTATATGTGGAAGTGAGGAATTGGTGCAAGAGTTCCAGATGCTGCATATTTAGGTTTGGGTCAAATGGCCCAGAAGGCGTAAGGACGGGTACAATACTGGATGGCTCGTGACCCTGCGGTCCTCGCTGGTCTGGAGTAGACGGCTGAGATGCACGCGCAACATTAGTTTCCGTGGCTGTTGCCTTCGTCGATGGAGGGGATGTGCTTGAAGCAAAGTTGCAGCCCAGCTCGGCGGTCTGGCAATTAATACATCGAGGGCGACGTTCATCACACTAAGTCGACTTTCAGTAACTGGTTCAAGTGCGGTTTCCCGCCGAGTGCCCAACATCCTGCACTCACCTTGATGTGCCTTTTTTTGCAGGCGAGACAGCCATTTCGAGACTTTTTGTGCGGTCTTCGCGGCATTGGGGTCTTTTGTTCTCGCAGCAACACAGCGATACTTCAAGGAATATTGCCCAATGAGACGGATATCTTGTCAGGCAGAGGATGCAGGGACGAATCGACTTGGGCGCTGTTGAGTAGGATTGGACAGCAGCCGAGCTGAACGTATCCGAAGAGAAATTGCGGTTGCCTGAATACCTCACGAATCTGGGCCTGCATATCGTCTACGGCCAAACGAGGAGGTGGAACCAGTGCTGAGGCTGAACAATAGGTGTAGTTTATGGAGCACCATTTCCAGTGTATCGTCTGTACAGAGATCGTCAATAAACGAGGTTGTGTTGGTGATGTATTGGGGGGGAAACAATGGAGGTGGCAAACCCTACCGCTAGTGGGAATTCAGAAGGCTTCTTTCTGCGGAGATGGACGATTGAGATGTGAAGAGCCAAAATCTCAGCAGTGTAGAGTCAGCAATAATCGAGGTCTACTTCCAACTCGGCAGGCAGTGGGACAATGGACAATGGCATCATGTATGGAGGTATTGTTGAGGTTAGAAATGAGTTGGGGCGGCACGCAGAATTCTCCAGGTAGCAAAGGCAACTTCGCTTCTTACATACCTCGAATGTATTTTATATCCTTAACTACATTAACTCCAGTTGTCGGACACTTTTTCATCGCATCCTTCTGTTTGTCAGAGAGCATGCATTAGGATTTCAGTGTATTCGGTGCTTGCCATCCCCTTTGGCATTTGATCCTGTCATCGCATGCCCGTCCAACGACCCTCTCTACACCATCCCTGACCAAGTCAACTCGTTAGCGAACCTCTGCTTCCTTTTCTGCGGTTAGATTCTGTCGTCTGCGACGCTATTTGCAGTTTCTCAATTCGCCGCCCCCGAAGTCGTTCTTCATGTCAGCAGCAATTTTGATTGTCCCTGTGCTGATCACCGGTTCAAACACATTCAATACTGAATTCGGGCGCATCAGCCACCACCGGTCGCATATCCATGACCGACAGTATCTACGCTCTGAATGTACTCCCGAAGAATATGCTGGGTAGGCACTGATAGAAGAAAGACGAGCACATAGTCAATGCTAGTCGTCCAAGAGATAAACAACCAACGAGACAACAATGGCCTAACGAGTGTACACGATTGAGAGAGCAGCGAAGCATTGCAGCACGGGAGACGCCTGGACAACAACCCAACAAAGTATGTATGCTGAAGCCGAAGCATCTTACAGCAGGACCCGAAGAGGACCGCGCACAAGGTCAATGCCTCCATTGAGAGGGACCAGGTGATGAGTATCTTGGCTGGGTGATCATGAAACTCTCTTCGTTTTGGTCGCAGAAAAGCACCTCAGCGTAGCCTCGGAGGCTGCTCGTCGTTGATTGGCTCCAATGATTTTTCTGTCCTGCCAAGCTCCTCTTCCGATTTTCATGCCATTGACTCATCTCTGTGCTCCGTGATGGGCAAAAGCGTAAGATTCTTCAGACTGACTTGTCCAAATTCAAGATTACCACCCACCGTCTCTTGTCCCTACTGACTTGGTGTTCATTTCCCGCGACATCAAGCACGTCACCTGGTGAATCTAGCTGAATACAGATCCCTCAGACTACCAGCCCTCGTCAAACATGCCTGGTCGCTCAGAAGTCGCCTATTTCGGGGCTGGTCCCGCCCCTCTTCCTACCCCTGTCATTGAGAGTGCCGCCCAAGCATTTGTCAATTTCCAGGACACCGGACTCTCACTGGCAGAAATCTCGCACCGTTCTCCTACAGCAAACAAGGTCCTCGCCGACGCCAAGGACGCCTTGGCAACTCTGTACGATATCCCCACAGATGAGTACGATGTGATGTTTATGGAAGCAGGCGGCACCGGTGAATTCAGTGCCGCCCTTCAGAATCTGGTGGGTTGTTGGATTGAACGTCGTCGGAGAAAGGCCGTGGCGGAGCTAGGGGAAGGCAAGGAAGCCGAAGTCCTAGAGCGGGTCAAGAAGGAGATCGAGGCAGAGTTGAAGGTTGATTACCTGGTAACCGGGTCATGGTCTCTCAAAGCCTGCCAGGAAGCTACGAGACTCATCGGTGCAAAATATGTCAATGTTGCCACTGACGCTCGGAAGAGCAATGGCGGCAAGTTTGGGAAGATCCCAGATGAGAGCGAGTGGAACCTAACACCAAAGGGAAGTGCATTGACTTATTTGTGCGACAACGAGACTGTCGACGGTGTCGAATTCCCCGACTTCCCCAAAACTTTAGAGAACACCAGCGGGAATGAGGAAGAGGACAGGATCGTGGTGGCAGACATGTCGAGCAATTTTCTGAGTCGAAAAATCGACGTTCGGAAATATGCAGTCATCTTCGTGAGCCAACGATTCCATTTGTGTCCCCCGATGCGGTGCTAACTATTATCAGGGCGGTGCTCAGAAGAATCTCGGTATTGCCGGCATTACTGTGGTTATCATTCGGAAGTCCTTGCTCAGCCTTCTACCACCTCCAGCATTCCTCCACGCCTTATCCCCTGTGATCCCGACCTCAGGATGTCTACCGCCCATCATGCTCTCCTTCTCTACCATTGCAGCAAACAACAGTCTCTACAATACACTTCCGATCTTCAACCTGTATGTTGCGACGTTGGTCCTGCAGCGTCTCGTTTCCACATTCGGCTCTACCAAAGTCTCTGGTCAGGAAGAGGTGGCCAACCAAAAAGCCAATCTCTTGTATGAAACCCTCGATTCTCACCCAGAGACGTACTACGTCGTGCCGCACAAAAGCGCAAGGAGCCGGATGAACATTTGCTTTCGAATCATCTCAGGGCCGAAAGCAGGCAGCGGAGAGGTAGTGCCGGACGAGGCCAAAGAGAAGGCGTTCTTGACTGGTGCGGAACAGCGCGGGCTCCTCGGCCTCAAAGGTCACCGATCTGTTGGAGGTATCAGGGCGAGCAACTACAATGCCGTCCCACTGAAGAATGTACAGAAACTAGCTAGCTGGTTGGTGGAATTTGCCAAGTCATGACCTGACATTGGTTGGCCGGGTCAAACATCCAGCAAGGAGAAAAATGACCGATTTCGAAGTTTGACGGTCCTCATCGACCGGACCGGCGGTCAAAAAGCTACCACTAGACATGAAAAGTATTGTTGTTTATTACGAATGAAGAGAATATATACAACGAGGCCTTGATTCTGTCTGACCAACGGTGCTAGTACCAGTTTTCTTTAGTCAATGCTCGTCGTTCGAAACCTAGCAATGTTTCGGCCGATTCGATCAGAATCAAAGTCGCTCGCCCCGGGTGCGACTGCTGAAGGCCTGGGTGCCAGGATAGTGGACAACAAGAGTGATTCAAGATGTTACCCTGCCATTTGCGAATTGTCATTGGCCTCTGTGTATCCTGCAACCTCGACCCAAGAGCGGAATAATCTCACTCGCCCAGGACGATTCCGATTGGGGCGGGATGACCCCAAGTAAGCGATTCTTATTTTAACATCCCGGCACAGGTACCTACTTCGGTAAAATCTTATTGTCCCAGGTCTCTCTCCAACATGTCACGAAGATACTTCCGGAGTGAAAAACATCCTTGGTGGGAGATGACCATTTCTTACAATCTAGGACGTGGATTCAGTCGTTGCCTCTATCTCGCCGGGACCCAAAACTCGACCATCAACGCGTTTCCAAAACTACTCCTCTCCGTCCGAACACCGGGTTTGTCCCAAATTGTCACCAAGTACACTGGCCAGGACTGCTGGATCAAGCTTGAGATCCTTAAAGCCGCTTTTTTTGAGTCGCCTCCATTGGAACCGGCGACTACAATGTCAGGAGGTGGGTGCGGCCCCGCCACCGCTTCCGCCCGCACCACGGCCTCCACTCCCACCAGGAAGCCGCCTCTTCAACGTGGACGCCAATGGCAGGATCCTACTGACCTTGCCCGCCAAGCCCGATGGCTTGTCCCTCCCAGGTGTGAGTTCAATTCCTGGGGGCACCTTCCCGTCGATACAAAAGGCGACTCCGGCCACGAGGATATCCGCCGTGTGGGTACCTGGTTGGGCCTTCGGGGCGCTTGTGTGAGACTCGCCCGGTAGCAAGACGGTTTTGGAGTTTGTCAGCCTTGTGGAGCTCACGGAAAAGGCCGATCCGTCATAGTCGACAATCTAATATGTAAAAACGGTCAGTTTGGGGGCGTCGTCTCCCTGAAGCAGTGTCTCCCGCGCGCTGGACGCAGAAGTGGAAAAGTGTGGAGGAAGCAAAACTTACCTTCGGGGTCCCTGGGACGACTGGCTCAGTCTCTTGCGCAGAGAATACGTTCACTGGTTTGTTTTTGGTCAGGCGGTATCGAAACCATTGGTCGGAGGAGTCCGTGATGGCTCTTGATTCCGTCGAGTCTATTTGCAGCCCCCGGATCTGGGCCCCGGTCGCATGAGGTATTAAGCCCGCCAAGATAACTCCCGGCTGGCCCCAAGGAGAACCCTGACCAGGAGACGCAAGTCGGAATATGCCTAGACACGAATCCAACAGTGTACCCCATTGTTGACTTCGCTGAGTAACGGCTGTCCTGGGATTTGCCGCTTGACCGCTGACTTCTGCAAAGGCTATCCCCATGGCCTGTTCAGGGCGTGTTAGCCCGGTTGCGTTGTAATGTTTCAAGGGGAGGGACAAATGATCGAAGTCAGCGTTTCAACTCACCGCCAGAATTTCCATACCACCCATGCTGTGGCCAACGGCTACCCAGTCCCTCCCACGCACTTGGGACGCAACGGCATCCAAAAGCTCCGGCGCTGTGGAGCTGATGTTCAGACTGACGTTCGCTGGGCTGAGCGGCGTGGTTTGCCATCCCACCTCAACGACTTCGACCGTTTTGTTAATCAAGGGCTCGAGCAGTTGATTGAGTTCTGTCGCCCAGCTGGTGCCATTTGCTCCGATGAACGCAGACTCAGAACTGTTCAACCCGTGGATAAGAACGACGCTGGAGGCGATGGTGTTAGCTCAAGCAGAATTATCGCACCACCAACGCAAGGATCGACCGTCGCGATGCGTCCCCAGGGAGAAGGGGAGGGGGGGACTTACACAATGGGTGCTTGAGGGTTTGATACTAGCGGACGGGCGGTCGGAGCCAAACTCGACGCGGTCGAACCGCTAGGGACCGCAGGTGCCTGTTGGATGGGAATCGCCGTTCCTTTTCCTTTCAATTTCTTGAGTATGCTCGACATTTTTGGTAACAGATGGAAACAAAGAGGGAGTTGAGGCTGGAGTAAAAGAGGAGGGAGTGCGAGGCAGTTGGCCCTTTTTGTACGGCTGGCGACCCCAGCGATGCCTGTCTTTGAAATTAGGGTAATGCTACCACGAAGAGGTCTCCCCGAGGCCCGACCCGTCTTAGCTATATAGAGCATGTGCAAGTGCTGTGGACGACATGAGGGCTGCGGCGTCCAAGAATGGATATGGACAACAGCCTCGATCTGCCTCTTGAGACTCTACTTTCCGCCCGGGTCCAAAAATAGGTCGACATGGACCAAAAACTTTCCTTTTCCTAGCCGGTACTGCGTGGCAGAGTAGAAGAACGATCAAGTGAATGGCGCAAACCCCATCAGAGAGGCTGGATGAGAAAGAGAGGGAGGTTTTGCAGGGCCCGGAGACCCGCCGCCGCAAGAAGACTTGGTCGTTCGTGTCTGATTACATGTCGCATTGTAGAGGCTCGGGATCAGCAATGTCATAATCCCCATTCCTCGCTAGGGCGCGACCCGTTAGGAGCAGAGGCATCGCGGGGCACCATCCCTGTGAACGAACAATAACGGCCCCCCGGGGGGGGGGGGGGAAGGGGG